AGATTTAAGAATTTTTAAGAATTTAGTTATTTGAAGTTGTTTTTTGTTGAAGTTAAAGTTAACTAAATTTAAAGGAATGTATATAAGATTTTCTAAAAATTTTAATTTCATAAGTTCATTTCTCAGACTTTCCAAAGAAAAAATTTAGAGAGATGGACTCTGGAGGCAAAGGAGATCTTTCTTCTTTCTGACATCACAGGAGTGCTCTAATCCTTCTATGGAGCTTAGATTATAGTAGCTACGTTGGAATTCAAGGCGTGGGAGCTGAGAATCGGAGGTTTGTAGTTGTTATATGGCGGGAACTTGAGAAGTTGTTTTCTTTGGTGTTTTTCCTTCTCTTTATTGTTTTTGGAAGATTTGAGGTAAGAGAAGTTTGTAGTTTAATCTTCTAAGTTGTATAAGTTGATTGTATTGTGTTAATTCATGCTTTAGAAAACATTGAAGTTGAATTTGAGGCTAGAACCTTCATGTTCATCGTGTTTGGAGTTTTCTTGCTAAAGGAAGAAGAATTGGAGATCTTGAATTGTAATGTTTTTGCTTGTTGTTACTCTTTCAAATTATGAGCTATACGATGCTAATAGATGATGAATTATGAGTTGCATGTAGGAGTTTTGGAATTGGATGAGAGGATTTTGAGTTGTTAAGTTGGTTTCTTGTGAGTTGATGAACTTATTCTTGAACTATGCTTATTTGCTAGGATTGCTCGCTCAGAGCGTTAATGAGGCTCGTTTAGTGAGATAATGCGACCATTTCAAAGGTGGTATTTGACTTGGCTCACTTGGAGTGCTTACGTAGTCACTGTCGCAACCCGAAAATTTCCAATCTTGTGACCTATGGTTTAGATATCTTTTTGAAAATCTCATCAATTAAGGAATGCCCAGAGACCAGACTAATCCTTAATTAATGATTTTGAAAAATAAGTTCATGGAGTTGCCACCAATGTTTTACTCAAAACATTGGAAAAATAAAAGGTTTTTAAAAGTCCAATAATGGCCTTGATAACCATAATTAGGTTCGGGGGTCGTTTACGTTTAGGGAAGGTATTAAGCACCCCTACAATGCCCTTAATCGGTACCTTTATGATGAAGTAAGCATAATAAGAATTAATAAGTTAAATATTTAATCCCCTTTATTAATGATTATTTACATGCTTGAAATTTAAATTACACGATTGATCCTAAAATGTCTACATGGTTGCTTTTATTATAACGGTATTTAAAATGAGGGAATAGAGAAAATAGAAGAGAATTGATTGAAATACCTCTTAAACGAGCTTTACTGAATCTTCAAATATGGGGATCTATTATGTGCTTTTTGGCTACCTTTCACACTACACAAATTCCTCACAAATCTCAAGAAATACAATATGAGGGAGAGAGAGAGAGAGAATTTTCGAGCTCTAAGGAGTCTTGGACAAAATTTTTCTGGCCCTGAGTATAGTGTCCGAGTCTACTATTTATAGACATCAGAAATGGCCAGAATGGCCCATTCTGGATTCGAAACAGACCGTTCTGGACTAGTCTTTTAAAAGTAAATTTTGAATCTGGAACGACCTGTTCTGGAAGCAGAACGAACCGTTCTGAATTTGGAACAACCCATTCTGGGGTACTAAAACCAGCTTGTTTGGGCTTTAGGCCTTCTGATGTCATGTCCTGTTGTTTCTATACTTGGGAGCTCCTTTTTCTTTGATAATAGAAGTCAATTTCCTTGTTTGTATGTCCCGGGATGAAATTGGGTGTCTACAGTCACTTTAAGCGAATTTATGGTTCTTAGAGTAATTACATCATGCCTAGGAGCCAAGTCCTAAAGGAATCAAGAGGAGTGGGCTAGACTTGAAGAATGAAAACCCAAGCTCTTATTAAACTTTGGATCCTTTTTAGTAGTTTGCTTTATCTTCTTTGTGTATATTTTTCTTGCAAATATTTTCCTTATTTTTGACCTTGTATTTTTGGTCAAGTAGTGTAGGAATTTATTTCCTTGTAAATTTTATTTTTAGGAGAGTATATAATATTTTAGGGAAGGTGAAACTAGAAAATGAAATATGAGCTTGTTAAACTTGAATTAGCCTATGGAAACATCTTTTATGTGTGGTCCAACCATTTGGACGTCCACTTCTATTGGACAAGGTGATCTATGGTTAATTTAAACTCCAACAAGTCATATGTGTCATACTTAGTCACACTTTTGGCACTTTTCCAAGTGACAACCTCCTATTAGCTCTTCTAGATCTAGGATGGTGACATGAGTCACACTTTCCTTGTCTTTCCATGTGATAAGTTCTCATTAGCCAATCTAAATCTAAAATAGTGACATGAATGGGAGGGAAATTCGAATTTTGAATTGTAACTAGGATTAGTAGCCATGAGTTCAAGTTAACCTAACATGGGTTACATTTAACCTATGTCAACTTAACTTGCACCATAAGCTACAAAATCCTATATATACTTGTAACCTCACCTTAGACATCCACTTTTAACATTTGTGATATTATTATATTGAGTTTCTCTCCTTCAAAAGTCTTAGTTCTCTCTCTTGGATATACTTCTCCTTAAGAACTTTTATCAAGGGTTTCCTACTTATGGCAAGTTCAACACTCTTGTTTATCTTCTCTCTAGAAGTGGTGCATCTATTCTTATTCCTCTTCCATCATTTTCAATCATCTTGAGCTTGATTCAATCATGGAAAAAGATAAAGAGCATAAATGAAGCTAGTTGAAGATTTCCATCGTTAATCTTCAACCTAGTTGCATCACAGAGTAAGAACTCACTTGCTCAAGCGACCTAGTGCAACCATTTTAGGATGGTCTCTAACTTCGCTTGGAACGCTCGTTGGGCGCTCAAAGTGAATTTTCGTCACTCAAAGTGAGATCTTACTTACTTAAGCAAGTTGACTTCACCTCCCTGATGTGGTCTCTGCCTAAGCTCGCTCAAAGTGTGCTCTTCATGACTTGAAGTGACAGTCTCTTTGAGACTTGTAACTTCTAAGTTATGTTCTCTTTGGCTTGTGTTTGAGTTATGTTGTGATATGCCTGAGACATGTTGTGTTTGAGTTATGTTGTGATATGCATGAGACATGTTGTGCTTGAGTTGTGTTGTGATATGCATGAGGCATGCTGTGTTAAATTGTGTTGTAAACTTAAGATAAGAGGAGACATGTTATTTTAAAAATTGAAATATCTCATTGTGTAGGTATGTGTTGTGGTGCTCTAAGAGCCTTATTGTTGAAAAAAAATTTTTGAGTTTGTTGTCTCTTGAAGCAGAATGTTGAATCTCTTTTAAGTCCTCAATTTATTTCGTATGGGGACAAAGTCGAGCTATAATAGTTTTGAAGTGACCAATTTAGGTAAGGTATGGCGTTGAGTGGTAAAATCCTTATTGATTGTTGGAAAAGTGTGTAATATTTGGAAGATAGTCCGCAAGTTAATTGAAATCATGTTAACTTTATTTTGATAAGTTGAAATTGAAATATCATTGTAAAAAGTTTGATTTTTTCCTTTATAATAAATTTTTTTTATCTCTCTTTGATATAAATTTGAAGCGATCGTCTCTCCTAACTCCACAGAACCAGCCCTTAGGTCCATTGTCATCCCTATATACAATGGATGAATTATATTAATAAATTGTTTTAGTTAATCATAACTTATAATATATGCATTTTGGTTTTAAAAAAATCTTTTTTATATATAGAAGTTGAATAATAAATTATTTTGAGATGTTAATGATTATATGCTGTAAATGAGATGTGATATTTTTTGTGGTGGCCAATATATTTCAATTTTACAGTTGAAGAGTACATAAGATTTAAATATTTTTATTTAAATTAAAGAAAATAAAAAATTTAATTATTAGAAACATAAATAAAAAGAATTCAGTTAAAAGGTATAAAACCATTTTCAATTATTAATTTTTAAAAAACGTTACATTTAATATATGTATTTGTTTTATTTTACTATAGCACTAAAATGTTATTTCTTAATTCTTATAATATTCAATAATGATAAAAAAAAAGTATTTAAATTTTAAAAAGTAAAACTTTATATACTTTTTTTAATTAAAATTAGTTCTTACATTTGTTTAATGTAAGAACTAAAATATATTTTCATTTATTCTAACCCACATTCTCATTTTTTTTAAGAATCTTATAGTGGAACAACGACTTAAATCGCCTAAAAGGTTGAGTTTTTATTGAATATCTTTGCTTGAATACTCTCACTTTGAATTTTGGTTAACTTAAACAACTAATTATTTGTCATAATTTGAAAAATAAATATTTAATTAATAAATATATTACAAGCATGCGTGAAAACGATAATGACTGATTGATTGCACAGGATGAAAATTTACCGTTTACTTTTCTTAGCAAACTGTATCATCCCTCTTCAATTAGGTCCAGGTTTTCTTTTTGCCAAAAAAACATTAGATCCAGTTATACTTTAAATTAAATAAGCTTAACCTAAGTCATTAATTTGAGACTTAAACGACCTGTTTATTTATAATAACATTATTTAAGTAAACTTCCAAATCTTCCTCAAAATTATTAAGCCTAAACTTTTTCGTAATCAAATAAATTTAAGTCTTTATATAGATAGCCATATGTAAATACCAAGGCATCTAACAAAATTCGATTCAATAATAATATTTCATTTAAATAAGCTTTTGAATGATTCTAAATCTGATTTTAAACCAGTTTTTTATATATAAAAAAAATGATCTAACTTGATGAACTTAGCCTAACTTTGGCCCAAAATGAGCAGTGCGATAGATCGCAAAAAGTCTGGTCTATTACCATATCTTCATCCTTCAATTTTCCTATCAAACACCGATACGTTTTCTTTTGTTTTGTTAAATAAAGAACAAACTAACTTCTAAAAACAAAAATACAAAAGTTTCTTTTCTTCTATTTTCTATTCAAATTTTCCCCTCCTTTGCTTGCTTTCCTCTGAAACAGGATTTAAGACTTTCCATCTTGTAAGTTTCTTTTTATGCTCAAGATTTTCCAACTGATAACTTAAATTCACTCAAGACTGCTTCAACAATAATTACTTTCACTGATAATCTAAGTATTGAACTAAAACCGTTCGTAATTCTTTTCGAAGTGCATCTAGTTAAATGCCACAATACCAAGGTACCCGTCTGCACAATTGATGGTAAATGATTTTCATTTAAATCCAAACTTATGATACCAACATGACAACAAATGGGTGACTTGGGTGGCCTAAAAGTTAATCCATTCTTCCTTTCAATATCCTTTCCTTCACTTCGATTGGGGTGCTGCAGCAAATAAATGAAAAATCTGATAAGCCACAATAATAACAAGTTATGAACATAAACTTCAAAAGAATATGTTGCAACTTCGAATAATAAGCTTAAACATTAAACATCTAAGTGCAAAAAATAGAATCAGAAAGACAAACTAAAAAATAATGGTGAAAAATCAGTAAGAGTCCAAGTTTTTCATTCAAAGTGCCTACAGAAATCAGATTCAGTATAAGAACGAAATAACACCCTCCCCTCCCCCCCCCCCCCAAAAA